CGTACGAATGTAGGCGCGTGTAATTCGGTTTTACAGAGGTATATGAATCATACATGATCAATTGTTAACGGGGATTGATCTCTCTAAAAAATAACCGTCACAAGAAGTCTTAGTAGTCATGTTAAAGGGACTTGGTAACATCGTTCAGATGAGAGAAAACGGTGCTAAGGTAGTGACTTCAATGCTACATGTACAATTAAAGATAATCTGAAAGAAAACGACAAAAATCGTGAAAAACTTATCTGGTTGATTCCTTAATTATCCCAACCAAATGATTACAATTTAATCACATTTCAGTTGAATTGGCTCTTTATACCATTCCAGACGTTTAAGAGTTGAACGATTTTTTAAAGCCTGTCTTATATTTAATTTTCAAGGAAAAACGGCTGGGAAAATTCAAAAATGGTTGGGAGGATTTACTGTTAATCACTGTTAGAGGGTGTTGCACAGTGACGCCTTCAAAGAAAACCTTAAATGTCTTTGTGGTTTGAGAATTTTCTCAGGATGTTTTGCCTGTTAGAGCAGAGGCGGTGCCCCCGGCGGGAGGCGGGGGGGGGGGGGCACAGTGCCCCCCACACTTTTTTCAAGAACCCAAAAATGCCCCTTTTTACATAGGAAAAGTGCCCCTTTAGCTCTGTAAGAAGTGCCCCTTTTTACATACAAAGTGCCCCTTTTACTTTTACAAGTGCTCCTATTAATTCTTAAAAGTGCCTCTTCCCCTTCACACCTCTGATAAGTGCCCCTTTTTTTCTCTGGTGATTTTCCCCATTAAAATCTGATCGGTGTCCCTTTTCTTTCAACAAATGCACATTTCCCTTTATTATTAGTGCCCCCTTTTCATTCTCATAAGTGTCTTTTTCATCCCTGGTGAGTGCCCTTTTTAAGGTGTAAGAAGTGCCCCATTTTAACCTCTGATAATTACCCGTTGTACTTTGACACGTGCTCCTTTTCTTTCTAATAAGTGTGATCCTTTTCGATAAGTGTCCCCTTTTCCTCTCATCATTAAACTTACCCCTAATTTCAAGCGACTAAAAGCAATATCCCCCAAAGATCGCTCGTAATACGCTCGCTCCCATTTATAGATGTCATAATTATGTTACTTATCAAAGGTTCTTTTTAGTCTGCTATTATGAGAATGTGCTTATAACCCCATCAGGATTGGGTGTTTCCTCTTTATAAGATGTAATTTTTCGCTCTGCGACCTCACAAATCTTATTTTTTTCCTCTCTTGCTTTGCTCGCTCGCAAATGAATTTTCAGACCACCACACCGAACTGCAAGGTATGACTTAAGCAATATGTTATACGGTGTATAGAGAGAAACCAATATTGAAATCATCCCTACTAATGTAATCACAAGTATAGGGGTATATACCAATGTCTAAACAATTGTATATTTTCGCTTTGAGATTTCCATTTGGAGGTGCTTCTTTTCTCCAGAAAGTGCCCTTTTTTGTTTTTGCCCTCACCCCCCCCCCCCTCCACTTTGGAAGTCGCTCCGCCGCCTCTGTGTTAGAGGGTAATTACAGTATATAAGGAATATAATCAGTAACATTTCATACAAAGATTTAACACTTTTTTCATCAACCTTCAACAATATTACCGAGTCACTTTAATTGAATAGGTTACAACAAGGAGGGGTTCACTATAAACAACATCCTTGGTTATGGATAAATATTCCCCCTGAAAAAAATTGTTTTTTAGCTTCTTCATCCAACCTAAAGAATACAAAAAACTAAAGAAAAAAAGAGAAAGCACCAGAAAAAAACGATGATGGTATAACGTTAAGACAAAGTAACACAAACCGGACATCCTTGTGTATCTATGAAAGTTGTTCCGCATAAATGATTATATTGGATTTATCTTACATAAATACTTTGGAGTTAAAGTTTTGAGAGCCAAGTGCTAAAAGAAAGAAACACATCACCAATCTTCAGATCGATCGGAGAGTATCACAAGAAGGGAAAGAAATGTTGATGACAGTACGAAAATATACCTAACAGTGACCTGTACTGCAACTGAAGAAGAGCCTTTGGTTACGAGATTGTACATTAAGATGTTTGAATTAAATGATGCCAGAATATCAATGTACTTTTGTCATGGGTCAAATCACAGTAGAGGAGTTTTTCTTCTATTTGCGAAAAATGTAGATGTTAAAGTGGAGGAGGTAGTCAAAGATGTGGATGGTCGTTTTATTTTATTAAAAGGTTTGATTTGGGATATGAGACTCTTAATAGGGAATGTTTACTTCCCAACAAGGGAAAATAACGGCAGAACCCCTATCAACTATTTTCATATTGGATGGAATTAGACATATTATTTGATATTTGAAGCTTGCTGGCAATCTCTTGACACATTTTGTCTTTCCTCATCTTCACCTTTGTATAACAAAGTAAAGCCTGGATTTCAAATAGGTCGTCCTGGTCCATGTTGTTATGTTGCTAAAAATTATAAAAAATAAAGGAGATTATATACAAAATACGGAGATTAATAATATATATTTTAATATTGATATTGATTTATTCTTCCACAATGTGGAAATATGCTTCCCACCAGCGTTACAATAATACATGAAACAGAGTACAATAATATGAAACATTCAAAACAATTAAGCATACAATTTCAGAACAGAAAAATCTCGTCATTTTACAGAAATAATTTTTACGCCTTCCAAAATTGTTAAACTTCCTTTCTGATTAGATGATTAAAGTATCTCTCTACTGCTTTTAACGGGCTATTCAATTTAATCATCGTTGATGTATTACGTTTTATGAGTACAGTTTATAAAATCAAATAATTATGACCATTATTGCTATTGTTATTATTATTATTATCAACGCTATCATTGTTCATCAAAGTGGATACATAACCGAAGTTATATCGTTGTGGTCGTATTAAAATCATATAATACATGTATGCATACTAACAATCGTGGGTAACTGAAATGCTATCGTTTACTATCTCTTTAAGAATTGGTTGAACATATGAATAGAGTTTGGCACGTAGGAATGGCGGAAGAGTGTTCGATTTGTGCATGGGACGTTTAGTCGAATTCCAGAACGGTTGAAAGTTCATGTTAGTTCTTTTTATACTTGTTGAAATGGGATTCTTCACATCACAAAAAAATATAGTCTAGAGACTAATACCAAATCTGAATATTTCTGATTTGGTATTAGACTCTAGAATATATTTGTTAGTGGTGTGAAAATGCGAAATAGAAAAGGAGATTCTCAACGAGTTGTTTTCTCTGAAAAGTGGACAAAGCACGATCTTAGTTGAATATCGGGCATATTTGTATCAAAAGTTATCATCTCTATACTAGATCAAAGACTTTATTCTCTTATATCGAAGGTTGTTCCGCTGAGATTAAATCTGGCTCCATCGTGTATGGGGAAGTTTGAAGTTGTTTTATGAAATAATTCCCCATACCAGAAGGTTATTTCTGTCTATCTCTATACAATTTTCTTCATGAGCACTAGTCACATACACGATATTTCTAGATCTGAAATGATAATATTAATAATAATAATAATAATAATAATAATGCTAATAATAACAGTAATGGTTATAATGATGATAATAATAATATAAATAATACTTATTATTATTATAATAACACAAGTAATATCAATAATAATAAAGAAGGCACTACTTATTTTCTGTAATGAAAATGTTTTGAATTCATGTCAAGGAAAAAAAACTGTATTTTATTTCTAAAATTAATTTGTGTTGTTTGGAATCAAGAAGAAAAAAAAAACGTTGAAGAAAAAGAAATACGCAGCGGGGGATAGCGTAGGGGGCAGCCCCCATAAAAAACACACACAAAGATAATGCAATAAATTATCAATAATTCATTACATTTTGCACCGAACCCTAACATAAAAAAATCCTCTCTGTGCCCCCTGGACCCCAACAAGAGCTCTAAGGCGGGACACTTGATGCTCATCTGACCATAATTAAATACCTAAAATCCCTGGGCTTCCGGGGGCTCTGCTCCTGGACCCCGCCAAGGACCCTAAGGAGGGCCTCTGGATGCTCATCTGAATGTAATGTAATGCCTAATACCCCCCAAACTCAGGGGGGCTCTGCCCCCTGGATGCTCATCTGACTGTAATTAAAAACCTTAAGCCATTGGGCTCACGGGGACTCTGCCCCCCTGGACCCCACCAAGGGCCCTGAAGCGGGCCCCTGGATGCTCATCTGACCACAATGAAATACCTAAAACCCCAGTATGGGCTTAGCCCCCTGGACCCCATGCCAATTATTGACCTGCCAATGTCACAAATAAGGTATCTAAATACTAAATATGATTTAATATCTGACAGTTATTTAATGCCTAAAACCCCTGAGCTTCCGGGGGCACCGCCTCTGGACCCCACGTAGTCTAGTTCTAGACCATATTGATTTGTGTTATTCGCCGATTATAAGCGTTAAGCCAAGTGATGGCGGGATCGCGCAGTCACTAAGGATCGCGCCATCGTTTAACAATGTTAAATCTGAGATGCACGGCCCTACGTGTTACCATTGTCTGTGATATGGTGTAATATTGAAGCCCTAAACAAATCGCGCTTCAAAATGATCAAGAAGTGCTTCAAAAAAGTAAAAATCTTTAAGTGACCGGTTTTACTATACTCGTTTTTCCCAATAGACTGTAATGTTATGAAAACCGTTTGGCAAACGGTATTCAAAATTTGTAATTTCAATCATAAATATCTTGATAATCAGACAGGCGATCGGCTTGTAAAAGTCATGGGGTTCCTGACTGACCTAAAGGTTTATAATTATCATTGCAGCATGAACTAAATCCAGGATTTTGTTTCAGAATCTGAGACAAAGTTACCGGATCCCTTTAAAAGTTTATAGTATATAATTATCATAAATTAATTTGCATTAAAGAATGATAAAAAGTACACACTGGCTCCAATATTAACAGAGCTTGATGCCTTGTCACCCCTTTCTGATGAATATCTTTACATTTCACTTGCTACAGAGTGATTCCAATATGGGGGTGAACACTGATGGTGAAGAGATGGGTCCTGGATCAACAGTAACAGGTGGAGTTAAGGTAAGCAAAATGTATGTTTATGCTTAATCATTCTGAAAGGTTAAGTCATTAAAGTCTAAAGGAAACGATATTATATCTACTCATCTTTCATATTTCATGTATGCTTACGAGGTTTATAGACTTGACGTTCTCGCTCTTGATGTTGTAATACGTTCACGACCACTCAAATTTGCCAACAGTACTATTTATATGAATATCAATCAAAATACAAATTTCCTTAAAAAGAATGGAACATCTGATTTCAAAATAATATTCACTAGTTTCTCTAGACCCACTGCCCACGAGACCGTAAAAATAAAGAAATGCAAAAAAGAAGGTATAAGAATCATGCAGGCTTTCGGCCTTGTACGCCGTCGGACTATTAAACCTTTTAGACAGTTGTCAGAAGGCCTGCGAGATCGACACAGCCGGTCTCGTGTGGTTTTTCCTGGTACATGTTAAAATAAGATTACAGAAAAAATGATCAATGACCCACAAAATAGAAGATTTGATTCAGTTCATGTTGACAGTCAATAAGGATGTATTTTGATCCATTTCTATTAGCACCAAAAACGGCTTTTTTGTGTCGGTTTAATTGTCAGCGTTCAAATCGTCCGGCGGGCCAGACGGGGCTCATGAGCCCCAATATATAGAAGAAAAAAATCTACTGTAAAAGGTCGCATCTTAACTGAGCAAAAGACTTTGATAAAATACCTTAAATTTTCAGTTTTTATGGCAGCACGATTATGTATTGAGATTAAAACGGAAAAAGAAGAAGAATGGGTTGAAATTTGTCAAGGGCTCTAGTTTTGCAGTTTCCTCACAGTGCAGACAACTATTGTTCAAGAGATGTCGCCTAATGCAACCCATAAACTCATTTTAGTCATGTGTTGTATTAAAAGAAGAAATTTCAGTTTATACACTAATAAAGGGGAAACAACATGAATTAAACAACAAATTATATTTATAATTGTTCCAGGTTATTTCACTATTTATCCAAATTGTCTGCCATGACATATTGGACTAAATCAATCATTGGATACCCAAAACCCTGTGAAATTATGACATCAATATTATTATATTACTGTGATGTTTTTTTTTTTTTTGTTTGTTTTTCTTCAGCACACTGAGAAAGCTTGCGAGTTTGAACAACATCGTGAAAATGAGCAGAGTCCCCCTCAAGATGCTGATTGTGATGTAGGAATTCAGGAACACAAACCGTAAGCTTCACTTTTTTTAATCAATCATCATCAAGTAAAACGCAGGCCTTGATTGTCATACTGGTTCTTATAAAATGTATTCGGGTAATTCCACTAGCGTAAAGCATATCACTAATGTATCTAATGTGAATGTAATGGAAAGAGGAAACGGGTTAGAGAAAGGTGGGGGGCGGGGGCGGTGGGGTGTAACATATGATTTAATATTAATTTATGAAATAGGAAATAACGCTGTCACAACTGATGTATTTTTGCTGAGACATTACGTTTTATTTCCGTGGACATACATGAAAACATTTTATCTTCAATCATTATCTGTAATCATTTATCATACTTGGATAATCATTGCATCTAGTCATGTCAGGCATGTCCCACATGAAATTATTTTTAGCACAACGGTTGATTCCCCGTTTCAATACCAAGCCCTTTATATTTTTTAAATATTAATTCTGTCTTCCTCGTAGATTAAACTCGGTACGATCCCTCATTTCTTTATAAGACTCAATTTTGTTCCTTACATCTTTTACTAATGATGAAACTAATTCGCTTCTATCTGATCATTTTGGTATTACATTTTATTCAAACATCTTACATTGTTTCTTACGAATCGATATAGACAAAATGCATCGATTTGCTTTCAATTTCCTTTGAAAAGGAATAGCCGGGGACCTAAACCATGATCTCATCAGGTTCCAGATTTCAAACAAATGGACACCCCCTCCTTCCCCCAATATGTGGTCAGTCTCAAATGACATAAATGTTAATGCCTATCAATATCAATTGCATATTATTTTATAGTTTTTTGCTTTAAATGTCATGTTTATAATACAAACAAAATTAGGTTCCAATGGATTGTTTCCATATCAGTCTCTTTATTTTAGAATGGAATTCGAACAAGTATAAGTCAAAATGATGCATATGATTTCAAAAGTTTGAAATGCCTAGTTCCATAAAATCACATCGAGTACAACAGCATAATTATGCCTTTTGTTATAGGGCCGAGGGAGCCGGTAAACCTCTGATCACATCTCTGCAAGACATGCCATCGCAACATACATCCGGTGCTTTAGATACTGAACACAATGAAGCACAGGGAGAGCATGAAAATCGAGAGTATAGTGTACTGTCTAATACGCCTACATTATTTCGACCCGATGCAGATATAGAGGATGAAAAGACAGAGCTCTCACAGGGCGCTCTTGTAAATTTGAATACCGACACATCCGCTGATGACAAGTGCGCCCAATTAGAAAAATGCACAACTCCTCTGCAGCCGGGGGAAATCAGGGAAATCCTAAAGACTGATAGTCATACGAATGATGATTGGGATGCAATGTCTAACACACTACTGGATGAAATATCCCCGAGTGATGACAAAGCCAAACCAGAGCTACCATTCGACCCTGACATATACCAGATGGATAGAGACGGATACACACCGCTCTATAAGGCAGCTTTAGAAGGTGATCTCGAAGGGGTTCAGGATCTCATTTCACAGGGAGCAAACCCCAATAAACCAAGTAAGGCTGGACTCCTCCCTCTTCATGCAGCGGCTCAAGAAGGACATACACACATCGTTAACTTCCTCATCCCGCAGGGAGCGGACGTGAATGTTGAGTTTGAGCTGGGTCAGACACCTCTTCACAAGGCAGCATTCAGTGGCTATACTGGTATCGTAGATAGTCTAATTGCAGAAGGCGCTAATGCGAACGAGGAAGATACAACTGGTTGGACACCATTCAATGTTGCCGTTCAATATGGCTAGAAGCTGTCAAATACCTCATAACTAAAGGAGCGGAGCAGAACAGATATGATGGTATGACCCCACTTTGTGCTGCAGCACAATTTAATCATTTGGACATCATCAAATTATTCATATCCAATGGCGCTGATGTGAACGAAACAGATGACGAAGAGAGAATTCCTCTCCACGGTGCAGCTACTGAAGGTAACACTGATGTCATGGAATATCTCATTCAACAAGGATCTGATGTGAACAAGAAAGATAAAACTGGCTGGACTCCATTCAATGCTGCACTTGAAAATGACCATCTAGAAGCTGTCAAATGTCTCATAACGAAAGGAGCGAAGCAAAACACATATAGTGGAATGACTCCACTTTATGCCGCAGCACAATATGGTCATTTAGATATCGTCAAATTCTTCATATCCAAGGGAGCTGATGTGAACGAAGAAGATGACAAAGGAAGGATCACTCTCCATGGTGCAGCTATTCGAGGCCACATTAAAGTCATGGAATATCTAATTAAGCAAGGATCTGATGTGAACAAGGAAGATAACACTGGGTGGACAGCTTTCAATGCTGCTGTTAAAGAGGGCCGTCTAGAAGCTGTCAGATATCTCATAACAGAAGGAGCAAAGCAGAACAGATATGATGGAATGACCCCCCACTTTGCCGCTGCAGAATCTTGTAATTTGGATGTCCTCAAATACTTCATTTCAAATGGAGCTGATGTGAACGAGGAAGATGACAAAGGAATGATTCCTCTCCATGGTGCTGCTTTTAACGGTAACATAGAACTCATGGAATATCTTATTCAACAAGGTTCTGATATGAACAAGGAAGATAACACAGGATGGACTCCATCCAATGCTGCCATTCAAAATGGCCATCTAGAAGCTGTCAAATATCTCATAACTGAAGGAGCGAAGCAGAACAGATATAATGGAATGACTCCACTCTTCGCCGCAGCACGATTTGGTCATTTAGACATCGTCAAATTCTTCTTTTCCAAAAGAGCTGTTGTGAACGAAGAAAATGATACAGGACGGATTCCTCTCCATGCTGCAGCTGCTCGAGGCCACTTGGAAGTCATGGAATATCTCATTCAGCAAGGATCTGATGTGAACAAGGAAGATAACGCTGGGTGGACACCATTCAATGCTGCTGTTGAACATGGCAATTTAGAAGCTGTCAAATATCTCATTAAAAGAGGAGCGAAGCAAAACAGATATGCTAGTATGACACCACTCTATGCCGCAGCACGACTTGGTCATTTAGATATCGTCAAATTCCTCATATCCAAGGGAGCTGATGTGAACGAAGAAAATGACAAATGGATGATTCCTCTCCACGCTGCAGCTGCCCGAGGCCACTTGGAAATCATGGAATATCTCATTCAGCAAGGATCTGATGTGAACAAAGGTAACGTCAGGGGTTGGACTCCATTCAATGCTGCTGTTGAAAATGGCTATCTAGGAGCCGTCAAACACCTCGTAAGTAAAGGAGCGAAGCAGAACAGGTATAATGGAATGACCCCACTCTCTACTGCAGCACAACTTGGTCATTTGGACATCATCAAATTCTTCATATCTAAAGGAGCTGATGTGATCGAGGAAAATGTGAAACGGAGGATTTCTCTCTCCCCTCTTCATGCAGCATGTTACAATGGCAGCATGGATGTCGTGAAAGTTCTCGTTCACCACAACGCTAATGTCAATGAACAAGATAATGATGGATGGACACCACTAGAAGCCGCTGCACAAGAAGGACACCAAGACATAGTCGATTACCTTGCATTGAATGGAGCAGTCATGCACATGAAGGACATAGATGGTTTGACGCCGCTCCAGGCAGCAACATTCACAGGTCATGCACATGTAATAGAAGGCATCTCATCACGTAGGGAAGACCCAGATGTGGAAGAAATAGGGGATCCACGACCTGGAGGCCACCAAAATCTAATCACAAGAGGATATATCACGGCGATAATAAAGGATGCAGACACACAGTCACGTACAGTAAAGTTAACATCTCAAGTAGACTTTGCAGAGGAGATGAACTGCAATCAAGCTGATAATGCAAAGAGAGGAGCCGATAAACTCTCCTTGAAGAATATTTCCACAGGGACCCATGATGATGAAAAAGATAAAGGTCGTCCAAACGTAAATGAACACCTCTCCCCACGTACAGGTGACCCGAATGAGGAAGATACAGAAGATCCACTATCCGGGGGCCACCACTATGGTGCTAAACATTTCGCCACAATAGGTTATGCGCATAAGAAGGTGATACAAATGGAGGGGGTAGACACTGTAGAGGATGGGAATGACGGCAAACAAGCTGATAATGTGAAAAGAGGAACCGATGAACTCTCCTTGAAGGATCTCCCCACAAGGACCCATGATGATGAAAAAAGTGGCAGAGAAGAACACAATCCTTTCATTTATGCTAAGCTGAAACATCCAGAAAAACCTGAACAAGATCCAATGCTAGATCAGATTGAAGAAATGAAGAGCCCCGTGACAAGAAATTACACAGACGGTTCTTCCCCGCATGGATCTCAGACGTGGCAATACAGCGGTTTCGATACACCCTTTCTACAAACCATTGGGAATGACGGTCATCCCTCTGAAGACTCGAAATCGACATGTCAATCACTAATTGACAAAATCAGGGAAATGAGCGTGAGTGGTTATTATTTGTTTTCTCTAAACAAAGCATATGCCATATATTTGATTGAAACTTTGGTTAGAAAAAATTATGGAAAATACAGATATGTATGGAAGCAACCATTCAGCCAATTCTAAGATCATCATAGAGATGAAAAACAAAGCTTCGTAGAAAGCAAAATTAATGACCTTTGGTGCATATCCCTACGGTGAAGGTTCCGTAATATGTTTTGCTTTAAACACACCTATGCATGAGAAAAGGACTCAAATTCTAAAAAAAGAGAATGAAAAATTACAATTATACATAATGGTCAGTTATTTTTGTTGTAAGAAACAATAACGTGTTCATTCTTTAAATGAATTTTGAATTTCGTCTTTCTCGTTATTAGGTCTAATTCCTCCTAGAGCATCCGTGCTAACCAAAACTGATTGTCGCCACTATGTCTTCTTATATCATATCATTTCACAGCATTCTAATATGACATTTTCTACGATGTAATTGATTTTCCCTTCAGGAATCTCCTTCACCGATGAATGCTGGAAATGATCTACCAATCAACGACACATCAGAGATTGAGAGGTACTAGTTACTTTCCGCTTCTTTTATTATGAGGAAACCTTGTTATTCGTAGAACGAGATGTATTTAGTGCATATATTTCGATCCACAAGTACTTGCATCATTAATACAAACTTTTTTTTTCTTCTCATGTTTATTGATATTTATAATCATTTTAGATATTCTTCATAATGTATATGAATAATCATTTATTAAAAACGCATTATGTACGTAAATTGCATGACTTCGCCTTTTGGCAGGATTAGAGCACTTTCGGATATTTTACCTTCCTGGGCTTGATCCTTAAGAAGCTAGAGAACAGTGAAGCAAGACCTGATGCAGTACAAAGGGTACTGTTGGAGTCAATATTTTAATCTAGGTATTTTCCCTTTGCCATATGTGGGCTTTCTCCGATTTACATGTTCGTCTATTTTTCAACAGTCATACATGCATTTCTATATTTCAGAGATTTTAGGGACCCAATTCGATTGGCTTTATTTTTACATCAGCTAACTTATTTCTACAATTAAATTCAACAGCTTCCCTAAACACTCACCAGATTTTGTTCACCAAAAGTTGTGTGACCGAAACCCTGTCTCCACCCAAGGAACCTCCTCAAACCCAGTTCGGAAAATCGGGGTAAGAGAGAAGTATTGCTCCCATTTATTCTTTATCATTACTTGATGTGAAAGTTATGAATTAGAATAACAAGCTTAAGAAAAAAAATGGATTATCATTCTGCGTCTGTGCAAAACAAAACGTATATGAGAACACTACCGAATATCAGTAGTTTTAATGGTAAATTAAATTAATTGAGTAACCTTTACGATTTGTACAGGAAGGCGCCCATTATCAATTCAGGTTTGTACTGCCTCGTTATATTTGCTATTCGCTTTCAGAGGGTAAGGAATTAATATAATTTAAAGGGATAGTTCAGTTATCTGAAAAGTGCTCTCCCATTTCTTGTGAGACTTTTAAACCAGAAATGATCCTCACAAACTTGTTTTACCCTATTTATGAATCTCGCTTAGATTAGATTAATAGTATAATTTGCATTTTTACATATCAAATGTCACTCTATGACTGTATATTAAACATGTATGATACTTTCAATAGAAACGCCGAACATTCTTTTACACTCATTTAATTTAGTGTTTGTTTAAGTTTAAGAATACCCATTCTAATTACTTTATTGATCACTTGCCAGTCTACTTCTTATGATTCAGAACTTATAGCTATTTAATCACTTGTGAATGTGTTTTGATATTCATGTTTGTTCCTTTTGATTATACATTTACTTGTATATTTAATAGAAAACTCATACTTCTAGACTCCTTTAATTAGACTTAATGAAAAATAATGATTTATTATCTTTTTTACCATCAGATACCACTCAAGTCACATACACAAAGCTTTAAATTTTGATGGAAAGTGGATAATAATATTTATATTTAAATTTTAATTCCGAAATTGTTTTTGTTTGTAAGCAATATTTGTATAATGTTATCATTATACATGTATAGTTCCTTTCATTCGCATTTAATATTTATTTCTAGAATATTGTGTATGATTCCTTTTAATTTGTATGATGATTTTAATGTTTTTAATTTTGTAAATTCATTTGTAATTTAGCCTTTGGCTACAATGAGTGAATAAAATATTTTGAATTGAATTAAATTTTGTTGAAGAGGGCGCTACACAAAGATAATAAAATGGGTGTCAAATTTAAAAGAACATACAATTTAAATGACAAAATCATTTTTGTTTGTTAAAAATCGGTTCAGAGACGGCTGAAATATCCATAACTATAACGATTTCTAATACATGTACCATCACAAATATTAGATAATTTGAAAAAGCCGTTGAAAAAACGAAATAGCGCCTTTTACATCGTATTTCAGTCACTGCCGATGGTGGCTTTTTGGTTGGCGTTTTCGTGTTGGTTATATTACGCACAACCAACCAGCCTATGTATTGTTATTTTTAATTAAATAATTAATTAACGGTCACTGTATTTTTTTGAAAGTGGAGGTGAATTGGTACGATCGTATTGGCTACATTTCACACATTTGGGGGTCTAAAATTACCTTCATAGCAATTTTAGGTTCTAAAAGGGCACTAAAAATGTCATATATAGGAATAAGAGCAATAACATGCACTTTGAAGACATTTGCGGTCTCAAAACAGATCTAAACTATCCCTTTAATCTTTCGCATATATTGAGAAGTGTCACTTGATTCATTGCGAAACATTGAATTCAGGCAATGAATGGTGCCCCCCCCCCCCATCGTTTTTTTTTTATTGTTCACATCGGATGCTTGCTGATTGAGATATTCCGTGACTTTTGTCAAATTTCATCAACGTTCTCTTTCAAATTCATACCCTTTTGATTTAGACCAAACGTCAAAAATCGGTTCACCGGTGTCCTTCAATCCTGGCACTCGTACAAACTTTCCTGCAAATGATTGTCGCTTTGGCCATCATTCTTGCTGGAAGTCCGGTTATTGTAGCAGGCAGAGATATCACTGAACGTGTAACGCTTCAAGCAGGTAAACCTGGTGTGGTCCCATTCCATCTCCCTTGGTCACCTAATAGTACATCCCACTGTTTTTTTACGCTTGGATTTAAATCTAAGTCTCGTCCATTCTGCATTAATGGAACAGCTGATGTCAAGGGCTTTAAAAGCCCCTCCCAGTTACCAAGATTTACCACCTCAGTCACAGATTTAGACATTTCTCCCTGCGTGAATCTGATGATAGATAACGTTGATAGTCTAGACGAGGATGGGTACGTATTAAAGGCAGTCTGGAATAGTTTTGAAAACGTTAGGTATGAAACTATTCAGAAGGAGATTGTTGTACAGATCCCACCCGGACGAGCTAAATGCTTCATCACTTTAAGTGAAGATGGTGATTATCCCTATGAAGTACACTGTCGATCCACCGCTAGAAGCGTTGCAACCACGATATCATGTTACCAGAATGAACAGAAGATTTACATCAGGGGTGAAATTACTGATAATGGGCTAATTACCAGTGGCATTTTTTTTATACCCCATATCACTTATTTCTCTTGTTGCTCACATGATGTATCTTTGAATGTAAGTCAAACAATGTGCAATGACTTCGAGTGGCCACACGGCAAAGAAACTATAAGCCTTACTGTCAATACTGTACCTACATCGGTTACCACTCCCACACCCCAAGTAGAATCTCATACAGAATCAGGGGCTTGTAAGCGATCCATGCTTCCTTCTGTGTGGCACTTCGCGTACCTGTTCATATACATCATCGCCTGTGTTACAATGTACTAAACACAAAGTCTTCACACGTGTTATCACTTTCTTGTTTAAAAGATAGTGTTATATTTACTAATAAATAAAAACAATTATCATAGTACGAATTCGAATTTTATTAATGTATACAATGTACAAAACATTTACTATTTCACAGTCGATGCTAATATTCATACATGTATGTTTTTATTTGAAAGAAAATATCAAAATGGTCTCCTTTTCAAATCGTTGTTATGTGTATGTATGCTTTGGTCTATGGTCTGCTATATTTCAATAATTGAGGGAACATATTTAATATCGATGACATTCCCTTTTATCAGCATATCATTTGACATAGACCATTTAAAACAAAATTTGTGGTCTGGGAAGAGGTGAACAATAATTTCTGAGCGTTTTCATTGTTATTGTGCGAGTGTGGAAGAACATCGGAGAAAAAATACTCCCTGATAAGCATGGCTCTTCAAATGCCTTCATATTATAAATATGACATGTAACATCTTAAAATTGAGAACCTCATTTTTATTCCACATGTTAGTGTAGTCCCGTTTAAATCTTTTTGTGTAGAATGCTTGTTACTTTTACCAAGACTGGACCAAATTTCTTACCATTTTGATGATTCCAGAACCTTGAATTACACACCAATACTTACATGCTACATGGTCATCTTGTTTTGATCGATTCCACACAGTTTCTTTCATAATGCAATCGCATGAGCAGAACTCAAAATTATTTTTAGTAGCTTGCTATCACCCAGCCATGTCTGACCCCCATTTTAGAATGAATTTGAACCATGGGGAAAACATGGGTTACTTCTAGGATTGACATGTGCATGATGAACATCACTCTAAAGTTCTATGATACCCATAATATATCCTCATCGTTAATCATGAAAATATTAATTTGGAATGTGATTTCTTTCCAGATTTTATTTTCACTATTTTCAACTTTATGTCGAGCCTGGTGTTACATTTAAACAATATGATATAAATATAACGAATGACGTCAGAGAGTAGAAGAAATTGGATATAAGAAGTAAATATACCATTATATTGTAAATATCCCCCGTTCGAAACCAGAAAGTCAAAGACGTTAGCACAGATATAACGCCTGTCTGGCTTCAAATGGCAGTACATGGTTATTTATCGCTGTGTCAATATGTGTAAATAATATGAATTTGGATCATGAAAATAAGAAATATTGAACAGGGACGCATGTTCCATTGTCAAAGTCACAGTAAATTTTCATAGTGCACATGATCATGCAAGTGGAGTTGTGCCTTAAAGTCTTAAAGCTATACGACTAAACGGTTTTATTAATTTGCAAACACAATTATTTTATAGCGCACATTGTGGTAAAATGATTTTGCTTTCTCATCAAGTTTATGTTTCTTTTCTTTTGTATACTTATGTTATTCATATTACTTTTAGTTTCTTTAACATCGCTGTTGAAAAACATGTACTACATAATTTGTTTGGCTTAATAAATTATTATACAAATATGTTTAAAATGTATGTCTGCTTTCCCCAATGTAGTTTACATAAATATACGTGTAATTAAAGAACGGCTTGAATTGAAAGTATTGCGTGTATTATGTAATATAACGCCATTCCCAACACCAGCCCCGCCCGATAGAGCAATTGTGCTTTATTGCAGAATATGATGAAATATAAGCAACTTACTGCATGGGGTTATGCGTAGTTTATACCACATGTTAATTTCATTATCCAGGAATATT